TGTATTTGTATTCAATTCACATAATGCCTTATACCGAATTATTATTCTATTTATAGTGCAACACAAGTGAGGTGTATGATTAAAATAAGTCGCATTTTAATGTCGTATTTTATTTTTGTTCTTGACACAACCAATTATTGAACAACAATATCTGATATTTTACCAGTGGAATGGCTGGGCTACATTAAAGCTGTGTTTACTGACCACCTGCCCTTAGTGACTACATTCAGGCAGTCCCAAGTGCAATTTACATGTAAAGTAACATGTAGTGTATATAAAGACCACCTGTCTTGTCTAATATGACTACGGGTAGTCTTTGTATAAGTGATCAAAATGAAAGAAAAATAAATGCATGCTTAATGTTGGGACTAACGTTTCAATTTAATCAAAAGAATTTTTTTTATCTATTCCTATTTTCTAAATGTGTGCCTTATTTAACTGAGAAAATAATTGTGTTCACCAATTACTGTAGAATACTTTATTTTCGCTTGGAATTAATTTTCGCTATTTTCGCTGAAGGAATGATTCAGTGAAAATAAAATCCAGCGAATATACCTTTTTTCCTATATTTTACATTAAACCCATCAAAAATCAGTGAAAATAAATTCTATACAAAACACCCAAAAAGTCTTTTCAGCGAAAATAAATTCCAGCGAAAATAAAGTATTTCACAGTAATTAATTAATTAATAAACCTCTATATAAGTATAAAGTATGACCACCTGTCTAAAAAAACACATCACCTGATATTGTTATATATCATTCATATCTGTGGAGGTTTTCAGTATGCGATGTGTTAGGCATATTTGGTGTTCGCTATACACAGGTTTAGAGTATTGCATGTTACTTGCATGGCACCTTATGACTCAAATGTACTGTTCCAGGATGATGTATACCTATAACATGACTGAAATCATCTTATGATGGCCAGCAATGGCTAGATAGTATCTGACTGGAACAACATGTCTTTTATTTGACTCAGTCTTTATGAGAGTTTTATTCAAATTTAACACTACTGATGATATATGTCAGTTGCGTTATGGGAGAGAAATTATAAGAGAATTTAATGAAAGATAAAAACTGGAATTTGATCTTGGAGCATTATCTAACAATAACATCATAACATCAAGTGATTAGCCTAGCACATCATTTTGTTTTTGTTTTGCTGGCCATTTTGTTTTATTGAATGCGGTTCAAAAGCCACATCTCTTGACATGCTTTGACTGATTATGTTCAAATTTTATATATTCATTATACATGCTGTTCCAGAGCAATATCTCTTGATATGGACAAGTACTCGTTTGACGATCAGACACAAGATGACTGAATGTCAAACATTTTAATGTTAAAAAATCATCATAATCAAGCATCAGCTTCTGGATCCATATCTCTGACAATTTTTATGTTCAAACTATATTACTACAAACAAAACTATATCTTAAATTTTATAACAGGGTCTGTGTGATGCATGGCTTGTTTTTTGTTTTTTTTCATTTCATTCAAATTTTGTCGATGACTGGATAATAATTTTATTTTTGAAGTAAACACATTAACTTGCTAATATATACCATATTAACCATATTCTGTTGTCGGTCTTACATGAACCTTGAATCTCTGCATGTGGTAGAACATGAAGTTTGCCTGTATGTGTCACTAAACTATTTGATATGTACTGGAAAAATGCATGTCATGCACCTGACACTGTTCGGAAACATTTTTATTGAGCATGCTTCAGATATAGAAATTTATTTAATGACTTTCAAAAATCTTAATGCATCTTAAATGTGGTTTGTTCTTAGGATTTTGGTTCCATCTTTTCTTCACTGCTGCCTGGTACAGATGCTAAGCTGGCACCTCCTGATGGGAAGTCTGTTCTTGATGGACTGGAGGTCAAAGTCGCATTTGGTGATGTCTGGAAAGATAGCTTGACTGAACTAAGTGGAGGTCAAAGGTAAGACATACTCAAACATTGCAATATTAAAATAATAATTTCATTAAGTACCCAATATGGTAATTTTTTTTTCATTGTTATACATCCACAACAAAAAAAACATTTTACTGTCTTTGTTCATACTTTGGGGATTGGCAATAACCAGTCGTATGCATATAAAGTAATAGTGTTGTTTGTTGCTACTGCTCAGAGTAAATGTATGTGTACTGTATTTGCGATATCAGTAGCGCGTACATAATATAAATGACAGAAGTGTTTCTATAGTCAGTAATATTTTAATGATTCAATATTCAACAAATGCAATTTTTGGTTTGTTAGCACTTCTATCAGCAAATACTGTAGATGTCCTGTTTAATGAAGAAATTCTGGTTAAACAAATGAGTCGAGTACAAAAGCCTACAACATGCATGTAACTTTGCTTTATTGTCAACAGATCATTGGTAGCATTGTCACTAATCCTATCTTTGTTGCTGTTCAAACCTGCACCGTTGTACATCTTGGATGAAGTTGACGCTGCGTTAGATTTATCTCATACCCAGAATATTGGTCAGATGTTACGTACACATTTCAGACACTCACAGGTAACAAACCTTAAGACACAAGAACTGCAGTCATTATTTTGAATACAAATTTTGTCTCAAATGTTCATACACCTGCAGGGAATAAAATTAAAATTTATAGTTACCTGTCCATTGAAAGGTGGGAGACTAGAATTGCCTGTCTAGCAAAAAAAGACCTATTATTTAAAGCAGGGGAGTCGTCATGCTTCAGACGGCCATTGCGTGTCATTGTTTACAAACAAGTGCCCATGAGCCTTTGCCTTTTTTAGCGTGTGTTGTTATCGTCGCTTGGGACTCAATTCCCGCGACTGTGCGCAGGTGACGACCCTCCTGTTTTAAAACAAAATGGGTCTTGTTATTTCAAAGGACTCTACCACATTTGGTCACTTAATAAAAATGTCAATATCTTTATTCCACAGGGACAGGCAATTATTTACATCTACCTGTCCCAGCCCCGGCTTAAATGTGCCTGTCTCTTATATGTGGACAAGTCTTAATTACGACTACTGTTATTGGTAATTGGTTTCTGACTTTACTCATGAATTTATAAACATTGTCATGACTGTTCTCAGTTTTGCAACATGAAGACAGCAGGTGATTAGGTGTCACCAAATGCTGTTTTTTGTTTAAATGCAGCAATAAGTAGAAAAACAAACTAGTGCAATGATATCGATTAAAATATATTGTAAGAAGAGTAATATATCTGATGACATGAAAAACTGTAATGAACATACCTAAAATTATGATTTTTGTCGCTCTAAGCTGGTCATGTGATAACAAAAATATACCTTGTATTGCCCGGCCTTGTAGCGTCATTCTAAATTACATCATGTGTTTGAGGTCACGCCATGGTAAAAATGTAATTACACCTATGAGGTATACGATAAAACCTTTATAGTCTTGATAAGCCTTTTGCAGACCTCTGTCGTACAGCTTATGTGCTCTTGCAAGCTTGAGTCCTTCTGCCAAACGACATCGGGCCTGAAAAGCAGTACTAGTATCCAGTCTATAAAGAATATTATCACTTATTCATAGAACTGTTAAACACTCATGGCATAATGCGTTATCCACTCACAGGTGATAATCTCGTGTTGAAAGTTGGATATAAAATTGTTGGTTATTGTTTCCACTAAATTGTTTCTACTCTGTTTTGTCTCCAGTTCATTGTGGTATCTTTAAAAGACGGTATGTTTAACAATGCCAATGTGTTGTTTAAAACCAAGTTTGTTGACGGAGTATCGACTGTTACACGGTATACACAGACCCAGCCAACGACTGGTGGCGGCGCAACAAGCAGCACTGTCAGTGTTGGTAGCAGTACTGCAAAAAGCAAAGATAAAGGCAAGAAGAGTGCAAAGAGACCCAGACTTGTGATTGAACAATAAAGATGGAACCATTTCCCTTGTATATATCCCAGGAAACATAACATTAAAAGCATGGTATTTTAACACATCATCTGCTGAAAGTTGCAACGAATATTAATGAACGGGGGAAAAATAGCATCACCGGCATAGTCATTAAACCATGTTCACGTACCATACTACTCGTATATAAACAGTGCTTTCACAATGTTTGGACATAGAGAGTGTGGTGACTCTGGCATTTTGAAGTTGCACCCTAACATCATTCGTACACCCATCGTATATGCATAAAATGTTGAAGGCAAATTTTTATGGTCGATACAATTCGGATGTTTTCAAATTAAATTTGAATGAACAATCAATTGGGGAAACAGAATAGTTGCTTCAGTCTAATGCTAAAAATGATATTCAGTAAATTCAGAATATCAAATATTTTGCATAGTGGTCCTAAAACGAATGATCTCTGAGTGCAGTCCTATTGATGGTGATATGCAAAGTGAATAATTGTAAGATATATGCTAGAAAACCTGTGTTCAAACTATGCATTGTGGCATGTTTCTTTTATGATGTAAATAAGCTAATTTGAATATTTCACTGCCAACCCTTTATTTTAAACGACATCAGTAGCAATGTACACCAAGAATGGAGTCTGGATTGTTTCCATAATGCTACAAGTCAATGTTAGAATAGAGACAGTTTTTAGTCACGTATTTATCATGAATATCTGAAATTGTATTAGAAATATTTAGATTTTAGTGTTGTATTATGGTATATTGCATCAGACTTTTTGACATCTGTCCTCTTCTTTTTTTATATTTCAAATACTTTACATTTTGATATAGTAAATACCAAACTTCAATGGATATGACATTGTTTACACTCCACAGTCGTGAACTTGTAGGTCATGATTTCTTCCAAGGTTATTACACGTGTTGTATTTGCTCTTTTAGAAGCATGTATAAACCCTAAATCACATTTGTTGTCTAATGAATATTACTGTATAGATTAGTAGATGAAACTTCACCCTTTCTCATATGTATAGAGGCGCTAATAGAAGCTGCATCCCCCTCTGTTGCATTGTACCATTTTTATAGAAGTTGCGGCTTCTAATACAGATTTTACAGAACTTGTTTTTACCATACAAGTTTGTTTGCACTTCTGTGACCTGTTTGCAAGTGGTTGGGCCTCAAAATTGTCAGTGGTCTTGGCTAGACCCATGGTAATACTTGATAGTCCATCTGGTTTAGTAAGTACTTGGACCCATATATAAAATATGAATACAAATAAATGCTATTCTGTATGTGTGCCTTGGGAGACTTAATTTTAAGCCCAAACAGTGTACACAACTGATTAACCATCTTCACTATGTCTTCAATTCAGACATGATTTGAATTTTGAACTTATAAAATCGTGATTTTATTCAGAACCAATTACGTCACTGCCATTGAATTTGTAATATTTACTTAAATAAAATAGTGTTTATTTCAATTTGTTTAGACTACAAACTTGTGTGCATGTTGATGACAGCTGTTTCGCAATATACATGGTATGAACAATATACATGTTTTGCGATTTAATTCCACCTGGCACCGTTATGTATTCTCGACATATTTTAATCAAAGACAAGACATAATTTTATATTCTTAAATGTAACCATCTGTTCTTGTTCTTAACACATGTGATAAGGTAGGTAGCTTCACAAAGTTGAAAGACTTCTAAATCCACAGTGACATCAAAGATCCCTATTACGTGCAATATATTCACTGGTCCAGCATCCTTTAAATGATGTTAATCTAACGTCTATTTCTCCATCTTCCAGCTGAAAGAATAACACGATAATGTGTATCAAAAATATAAAAGTGCCTTTTCCCAATCAAAATATTTGAATGTTTTTTTTGTTTTGTTTTTTTCAATTCCACTTTTTCCTCTTCAACGTGGCAAGATAAACTAAATAAATAGTGCACAGCGACTTTCATAAAAACGGGTACGATTTTATCATAAAACATGTAGACACAGTCCTCTTCTGTTTTTAGTGTTCATATCACAGTTGTGTATACATGGTAAGAAATGTTTAAGATACGTCTTCAAGAACAGTGTTCGTCGCCATTTTGAATTAGACGAAAAACAAAATGATGTTATTCAAGTTCCTATTATGTTCTATTAAAGTATATATCATAGTTGAACAAAATTTACAACCAAAATCAGGTTTCGGAACAATTTGAATCAAACTCAATATATTTCTATAATTTTCCAGCAGAATAAATGAGTCTTCATAGTAGAGATACAGTTTATAATCACATTTTGAAGATGTGTGCCCTCTAGCTAACAACAATGAAAAATGTTTCATGCATGACTGACTTGTACTGTAAAGGGGTTAATTATTTACTGGGTTTTAATTTCTCTGACTGGAAAATGCGCTAAATTAAAACCCAGTGAATATGTAAATTTTAGCATAGAACACATTATCTAAATGACAAAACCGTGAATTTAAAACCCACTAAATATGCCTGAAATGGTAAATTAGCAAAAATTAAACCCAGTGAAAATTAGTCATTTTACAGTACACAAATTGTTTTTGTGCATACATTGGGGTATTTCATTTGGATTTTCACCTCTCACACTAAAGTGATGCACAACAAACTTAAAACAAGTGGCTCAAGTCTTCTATATCCTGTATCACTGTATTTGTTTTATTAGAAGAGCATATATAAAGGCAGTTAAAGCGCTACAGTCATCACGCAGCAAGTTTGAATTTGTGTAAACAATGCATTTTACAAGTGTGTACGTATATGAGTCCCTTATCAAACACGCTTTATTTTGACTGTAAGCCTTTGTTATTTACATAAGTGCATACATAACTAATAGGACAAATATGGTACTATTGTAGAGGGAACTTATTCAAATTGAAGATTTTTCATAAATTATATTATAAAATAACTTATTTGACCTACCTCATCAAATGCATAGATGTCATCGTAGCATTTTTGTGACATACATTGACGAATACAGTTAAGTTTTGGGAGTCCTGGTGGTACATTAGCACACTGAGCGTCATTATCACACTTATTTCTCTCACTCTTAAAGCGTCTTTCCTGAAACAAACAAAAAAATTAATACCACCAGAACAAAACATACAGCAACTATTACAACCTTACCTGTTATATATAGCGAATAAGAAATTCAGGATACAACGAACGATGCACATATATAAGGTCGTCACTGAGTAGCTCCTGAGTTGGATAACGAGTGTTCTATGTTCTTTGTGTAATAAGATGTTCGTATGCAAGGGATTTTTCAACAATTCGGCCGAATTTTGTTAGCGGTTGGCCGAATGTTGCACTATCGTTTCACAACAAAAGCTTGGAATTTTTTTCTCGATTTGCAGGAATCCGAAAAAAAACGCGTTCCTCAACTTGGCTCTTAATTTCGTTTCATGGCGTAAATTATAAATTGCATATATTTTATTATCACGGGTACGCCAGCTGACTGATGGGAAGCCACATATACGAGTAGTTCTGAAGATTCACAGTCAGTTCGCCCCAATGCACATTCGCCCCAGACCAGTTCGCCCCACAGTCAGTTCGCCCCACAGTCAGTTCGCCCCAAAGTCGGTTCGCCCCAAGTTTACTGGTGTTCGTTTTCGCGGTTATGCCTGCAAGGAAATGTGGTTTTGAAATATTTTAAAAATTATACTAAAGTAAAGCCACATCGAAGGACGCTGATCGCCGCGATTCATGTTTGTAGCATATCGCCCGAACCCGTGCTGTGCCGTGTGCTATGATCGCAGACTCGTTTGACCTAATAGTCCGTACGACACTCTCCGACCCGATAGATTTTATAATTGGCGTTCACAGGTCAAAGCAGCCAGCAATCTTTCCGTTCAGGCTTCGATGAAAGTACGAGAATACATAACATCGAAGTTCTTAATGTAACGATTATAAAATACATAACATCGAAGTTCTTAAAATAACGAACAGGTAACGACTATAAAATACACAACATCGAAGTTCTTAAAATAACGAACAGGTAACGACTTTAAAATAGG